GACAGTGTTGTAGATAAGTTCTCATTGTTTAAAGAATACCAGAATTACGAAAGATTTCAGCAGTGTTGTAATTACAATATTAATGTTTCTCCAATGATTTTAGTTTGTATATTACACTGTAGATGTTTTAATACAGGTTGATGTTTTATAGCTGGTACCTACAGATATAGGTAATGCTCCCATTGTGTAGTGTAGTTCCTGTACCTGAATGTCTTAGATCCTGAAACAACTCAGAAAATACAGTAAATGTACTGTATCGTGTTTATATTTCATTAAAGCATCACTTTCATTATAGTTAAACCCAGAAAAGTAGATGAAATCTAAACACCCATACATGTTTTGCCTCTCTGGTAGACAGTTTGTTTAGATATTGACTACCAGGTATTATCACATTTGTGTGTTACGTAAAATTTGATGACCCATTTTTGTTAAAGGAAAAAAGTTTAAAAAATGTTTGAAACATAAATGTACTATTAATGGGTGCTTCAAGGACCTGACTGATTCAGTTAATGATACGTACATTAATGATTCAACTAATATCTTATCTCAATGCTACCACCTTGGTTCTGGGTAGTTGTAGTCTTGTATTTTTAGCTCACCTGGCACGAAGTGCCAAGTGAGCTTAAGCCGTGGTGCGTCGTCCGTCGTCCGTCTGTTGTCCGGCGTCAATATTTTACTTTAAACGACTTCTTCTTAATAACTGAAAGGACTAGGGTGATGATATTTGGCCAGAAGCAAACTGGTATGAAGGGCTACCAAGTTTGTTCAAATAAATGACCTTCATCTATTTTCAAGGTCACAGGGGTCAAATATGTTAAAAACTTTCAACAACTTCTCCTCAATAACCAAGAGGGGTAGGGTGATGCTATTTGACCAGTAGCATGCTGTAATAGAGGGCTACCAAGTTTGTTCAAATAAATTACCTTCACCCATTTTCAAGGTCACGGGGGTCAAATATGTTTAAATCCTTTAAACAACTTCTGAATAACCAAGAAGCCAAGGATAATGATTTTGGCCAGAAACTTGCTGGGATAAAGGGCTACCAAGTTTGTTCAAACAAATGACCTTTACTTATATTCAAGGTCACAGGGGTCAAATATGTTTAAAACCTTTAAACATCTTCTTCTCAATAACCAAGAGGCCTAGGATGATGCTATTTGACCAGTAGCATGCTGTAATATAGAGCTACAGAGTTTGTTCAAATGAATGCCCTTGACTTATATTCAAGGTCACAGCGGTCAAATATGTTTAAATCCTTTACACAACTTCTGAATAACCAAGAAGCCTAGGATAATGATATTTAGCCAGTAACATGCTGGGATAAAGGCTTATCAAGTTTGTTCAAACAAATGACCTTCATCTATTTTCAAGGTCACAGGGGTCAAATATTTTAAACATCTTTTAAAAAATTCTTCTCAATAACCAAAAGGCCTTTGCCAGTAACATGCTGGGATGAAGGGCTACCAAGTTTGATCAAACAAATGACCTTCATCTATTTTCAAGGTCACAGGGGTCAAATATGTTTAAAACCTTTAAACAACTTCTTCTGAATAACCAAGAAGCCTAGGATAATGATATTTAGCCAGTAACATGCTGGGATAAAGGGCTACCAAGTTTGTTCACACAAATGACCTTTACTTATATTCAAGGTCACAGGGGTCAAATATGTTTAGAACCTTTAAATAACTTCTCCTGAATATCCAAGAGGCATAGGCTAATGCCATTTGGCCAGTAACATGCTGGGATAAAGGCTTATCAAGTTTGTTCAAACAAATGCCCTTCATCTATTTTCAAGGTCACAGGGGTCAAATATGTTTAAAACCTTTAAACAACTTCTTCTGAATAACCAAGAAGCCTAGGATAATGATATTTAGCCAGTAACATGCTGGGATAAAGGGCTACCAAGTTTGTTCAAATGAATGACCTTTGCTCATATTCAAGGTCCCAGGGATCAAATATGTTTTAATCTTTAAATGATTTGTTCTGAATATTCAAAAGGTCCAGGGTAATGATATTTAGACAGAAATATGCTGGGACGGAAGGCTTTAAACTTTCAAGGTCGCAGGCGTCATATGTTTAAATTATTTAATAGATTCAAATGGATGGAACACAGATATTTTGCCTGTAGCTGTATATTAGTCCACTTTTAAGATTACAAGTGTGAGATTAATACCAGGTGAGCGATTCAGGCCCATTGGGCCTCTTGTTTACATTAATATTTTGAATTCAGTTGATATTTTGTCTCACTGTTATTTTTTCTCACTTTTTGTAAAATAGCTAAAACTGTTACAATACTGAATGTATCTTTGCAGTGCACTTTGAGGTATGTATCCAAGAAATATACACATGCATTGAAAAATCAAAGATATAAGTATGAATAAATTTTATTTATTCAATAAAAAAAGTGCCAAGGCCTAGTCATAAAATGTTTTTCAATCTAATAAAATCATTTGAATTAGGTTTTGACTGATTATTTGTAAAGTTTTAATGTACAATAAATTGATAGATTTGTCACTAGCTGTAATGTACAAATGAGAAATTTGTAACAAGCTGTAATGTAAAAGTGAGAATTTATTGATAGATTTGTCACTAGCTGTAATGTGACAAAATAATGATTACCGGTAGCTGTTCCCAATTTTCGAGTAGAAAACAATAATGATGAAATAGATAGCAACAAGTCTGCATGTTGACACAGGGTTGTACAGTAGTGTCATCGTGTTCATGTGAAATGTGTTACAATGTATACCGGTTGGGGCCAAACATGTTGCTTCTTGTACTAAAGTGTAGTATCCAACATTCCATGTATAAAATACTGGCATGTACAGATTTGTTAACACTGACTTTCAAAGTAGTTCAGCATTGTAACTGAACAAGTTCCAATGCAGTTATTTAAATGTGCTTCAATTTTGTGCAATATGAAACATATCTAACTGTTGTCTGACCTCATTTTAACCTGTCTGTATATTCCTTGTTGTGTTTACTTTCACTGTCCCAGTAACTGTAACCCTGTGACATGTATACTGTCACTGTATTCAGTAAATGTGGCCCTGTTTCATGTATACCGTCAACATATTCAGTAAGTGTGGCCCTGTGTCGTGTATACAATCATTGTATTCAGTTAGTGTGGCCCCGTGTCGTGTATACAGTAACTGAATTCAGTAAGTGTGGCCCTGTTTCATGTTAACTGTCACCGTATGCAGTTTGACAACCGTGTATGGTGCTGTGTGTCCCAGTATCGTGTATCCTTTCACTGTATTGGGAATGGAAAATGTGGCCCTGTGTCATCCAGGCTATTTCACTTAATGGAGAAAATATGGCCCCTTGTTGTGATAACATTTTGTCTGTATGGAGAATTGTGGCCCTGTTGTGAAAATTTCAATCTCTGGAGAAGATGTGGCCTTGTGTCGAATGTATGTTTTGTAGGTTAGTGTGCCCTCGTGTCGTGTATGCAACCACTGTTTTCATTTAGTGTAGCCACGTATTGTGTATACAGTCACTGTATTCAGTTAGTGTGGCCACGTATTGTGTATACAGTCACTGTATTCAGTTAGTGCGGCCACGTATTGTGTATACAGTCACTGTATTCAGTTAGTGTGGCCACGTATTGTGTATACAGT